GATTTTAATGAAAGTTTATAAAGAACTTGGATTTCCATTCATTCATTGTTGTACATTTTCCTCCCTGTGCTCCCTGCACCCCCACCCCCCAAGTTAGCTTTTTTCTTGGGGAAAAAAGTTCTTTCATTGTTATACAGCACTGTCCCCCCTCCCCGGACCAATTTACTATGCAGTTCTTATTCTGGAAATCATGTGGTTGTAGGAGGATAGAAGATCCTGGCAGGAGGTGGGCAGCCCTGCGGGGAGGGAGCACTAGCAGCCTCAGTCCTCAACCACAGGAGGAAAGGGAGATTTGCATCATGAATAAACTCATTTAGAGATCTCCACTCTTGTGAAGTGCTAGTGTTTCAGTTCCTACTCATGGGAATCTGGAGTACAACAGAGCAAATCCTCCTAATCTCTGTGAGCCTATTGTTGTACCCACTGTGTCAGTCCACTTCAGAGAGCATCTTCATCTTTTTCACTGACTTTACCAAACATGATGTCTTTGTCGAGGGATTGGGACCTCCTGATAACACATCCTGATAACACATCCAAAGCACATGAGAAGACAATCTTGCCATTGTTGCTTCTAAGGAACATGCTGACTGCACTTCTTCCAAGATGTATTTATTCTTTTGGTATTCAGCATCATAAGTCAAAGACACCAGTTTTTCTCTGTCTTCCTTATTCATTGTCCAACATTAGCAAATGTATGAAAAAAATGAAACAGATAATTAAAACTTACTGCCATTGAGTTGATGTAACTTGTGGTAATCCTCCATAGGATCCCAAGTTTATGAAAACGTAAGGAGACTGTTTATCTTTCTTGCAAATATCATGACTTGTTTCAGGCACAACTTAGTCCTTGAAGTGATATCTTTGCTCTTTAGAAATTTCAAGAGGTCTTTAATTACAGATTTGTCCAATATTGTTTGACTTCTTTTTTTAAAATAAAATTTTTTATTTTAATTGTGATTTTAACGAAAATTTACAGATAAGTTAGATTTTCATTCATTCAGTGTTGCACAGTTTACCCTCCTCTCCCTTCCCCCTCCCCAAGTTGACTTTTTAAAAACACTAGTTTATTTTTTCTTATTAATTTTAATGAAAGTTTATAGAAACTTAGGGTCTCCAGTCATTCATTGTTGCCCTTTTCTCCCTACCAGACCCCTCCCCCGCAATTCACTCTTCTTTTTGAAAAGAAAAACTCTTTCATTGTTATGCAATTCCTCCCCAAAGTCCACTCCACTATGCAGCCTTCACTCTAGACTTCTGTTATGACAAGAATACCCATTCATATGCCCCTTTTAAATAGTTATCTCCTTCATCTGTTTCACTACAATATACCTCCCCTCCTTTTCTGTCTTCCCTCAACCCCAATGTCAGTTCCATTTTACAACAGTGGCCCTATGCAATCTTTGTCCATTTGTGACTGAGATATTTCCCTCAGCATAATGTCCTCCAGGGTCATCCATTTTGCATATTTCATGAGTTCTTTGTTTTTCAGTGCTGCATAGTATTCCATTGTGTGAACATACCAGAGCTTCTCTTATCTATTCGTTTGTTGATGGGCACTTGGGTTGTTTCCAGCTCTTTGCTATTGCAAACAAAGCTGCAATAAACATGGGTGTGCATATATCTGCTTGGGTGTCAGTTATGGTCTCTTCTGGGTGTATTCCCAGTAGTGGAATTGCTGGGTCAAATGTTATTTCTATTTGCAACTTTTTGAGAAAGCGCCATACTGCCTTCCACAGTGGTTGCACCATTTTACACTCCCACCAACAGTGAATAAGGGTTCCAGTCTCTCCACAACCTCGCCAGCATTTGTGTTTGCTGTTCTTTTTAAATTTTGCTATTCTGACTGGGGTGTGAGATGATATCTATAGTTGTTTTGATTTGCATCTCTCTTAGAGCTAGGAATTTTGAACATTTCTTCATGTGTGTGTTTGCCATCTGAATGTCTTCTTTGGTGAAGTGTCTGTTCATATCCTGTGCCCATTTTGCAATGGGTTGTTGACCTTTATCCTGTTGTGGCTCTTGAGGCTCTGAGTATTCAAGAAATTCTAGACTAGATATAAGTCCCTTATCAGATATGTCAATACCAAATATTTTTTTCCCAGTCTGTGGCTTCCCTTTTTGCCCTGTTGGAGAAATTTTTGAAATGTGCACAGGGATTTGATTCCCAGAAGGTCGCATTCATCTATTTTATCCTTTTCTGCTTGTAGGTATTAAAATGAATGATAATTTAAAATGAACTATTGTTGTTCACGTGGGGTTGAGTTTACTATGACTCATAGTGACCCTGTGAACAATAGATAATGAACCTTTATTAAAGAGGAAAAGCAGCTGTTTTGTTGCTTTGTATTATATCGAAGATACTATTTCAAAATAAGCTGCTTTATCTGTTAACTTTATTGTTAATATCATTGTGTTGCCCAGCTACGGGACACTTTCTCTGTTGTATTCTTTATAAATAGGAACTTCTGAGTTAACGTAAAGAAGACACGATTTCTAGCTACAATTTGCCTAGAAGCATGTTTGTGCCTCTCTCTTGGCTATAGCAATAATTTATAAACCCTCTTGTACTACAGCTTGGAGCTGAGGTGACTCAGTGGTAGGGAGTTGTACTGCCACCCCAAAGGCACTTGCTCCTCCCATGCCATTTCCTGCCTCTGAAAACCCACCGGAGGGTCAGATTTGGGTTGGGTCCTACTCAGCGATACCGTACAACAACTTTAGCTTGGAGAGTTTTTTAACATTTCTCTGTTCTGTCAGGTTTTAAAAAACCAGATCACTCTTACTCAGGATATGTGGTAATCTTTAGCACAGTTTTCACCAAGTTTAATTTATGGGGGAAAGTACATAAGATTTTCTGAATTCTTAATATGCATCTCTGACAACTAAAAACCCCAAATCAAGCCATTGCCATTGTGTCATTCCCAGTGCATGGAGCCTCTCTACCGCATGTCTGAGTCTGGGAATTTTTGTGAGAGGAGACTGTCCATCATTCTCCTACTGAGCAGCTGGATTATTTGAACTGCCAGCCATTGGCTTAGCAATTTGACAATTTACACTAGAACTTTTTTGATGACTAAAGCCCCAGGCATGTGTTAAATATTCTTTAAGTCCCTTTTAAATGAAATACTGAAAACTAAGTGATTTTACTTTGTTTCTAAAATTTAAAATGAAGCCATCTTTCTGTGAGGTACTGGTTTGCTCAGAAGACTTGGTGCTTTGTTATACTAAAATTATCAATTGAGGAGGATATTATCTTTTTTTAAAA